TTAGTAGAGACGGGGTTTCACTGTGTTGACCAGGATGGTCTCGATCTCTTGACCTCGTGATCCACCCGCCTCGGCCTCCCAAAGTGCTGGGATTACAGGCGTGAGCCACCGCGCCCGGCCCAGAGTAAGTAATTTTCTTAAGAGATAAAACACATACAAATAAATACTTTCAAATCCGGATAATGAACCTCAAAGGAGAAGTAAAACACATCAAAATCATGATAAACCCCAAATGTAATCACAAAATGAATGCATAAGCAGTCTTCTCCAACCTCTCATCTAATTTCACTCACATACTAGATGTCAAAGGTATCACCATCTTTTTTTTTTTCTTTTTGAGACGGAGTCTCACTCTGTCACCCAGGCTGGAGTGCAGTGGTGCGACCTCCGCTCACTGCAACCTCCACTTCCCAGGTTCAAGGGATTCTTCTGCCTCAGCCTCCTAAGTAGATGGGATTACAGGTGCACAGCCACCATGCTCGGCTAATTTTTGTGTTTTTAGTAAAGGCAGGGTTTCACTGTGTTGTTCAGGCTGGTCTCAAACTCCTGACCTCAGGTGATATGCCCACCTCGGCCTCCCTAAGTGTTGGGATTACAGGTGTGAGCCACTGTGCCCGGCCAAGATATCACATCTATAGTAAAAATAGCAGTAAGAAATATTTTATGGGTCATTTACTTAAATCATAGTTTTGAAGTTGGGTGCAGTGACTCATGCCTGTAATCCCTGCACTTTGGGAGGCCGAGGAGGGCGGATCACTTGAAGTTGGAGTTTGAGACCAGCCTGGCCAACATGGCGAAACCCCATCTCTACTAAAAATACAAAAATTAGCCAGGTGTGGTGGTGCATGCCTGTAGTCCCAGCTGCTTGGGAGGCTGAGACAGGAGGATCACTTGAAGCTAGGAGACAGAGGTTGCAGTGAGCTGAGATCATGTCAGTTAGGCACTCTAGCCTGGGTGACAGAACAAGACTGTCTCAACAAAAAAAAAGTTTCAAAAAAAAAAAAAAAAAAAAATCATAGTTTTGAAAGCTTCAGGGTTCATGCTATAGCACTATTAGCAAGATCTATGTCGGGTCATGCAGGCACTAGCTCCTCTCACTAGATGCTTCCTGTCTTAAGTAACACTGTATGCTATAGGCTGTGTCATTAAATGCAAAACCACCACCAAACTCTCAGTGACTAAGTCTCTGGGACTAAGTGAGGATCTGTTTACCCCTGGAAGACTGACCTTGCAGAGCTAATTTCCTATATATCTGTGCTGCTGGGCTTGAGGCAGTGGTTCCTACACAGAAATATTTACCAGAATTTCCTGGGAAACTTTTTTTTTTTTTCCTGGGGAACTTTTTAAAACTACACAATTAAATAAGAATATCTCAGGGCAGAGCTTACAGTTTTTAAAGCTCCCAAGTGACTGCACTGTGTACTGAGGTGAGATCCAATTATCAAAAAGCTCCTCAGATAATTGGAACATTTAACCCACCTGGGGTTAAAACAGAACTGCCTTAAAGGGACTGTGGAATCGGAGTTTTGACATTAGGAGTTCAGGCACATTCTTATTGAGTGTACACTTACAATTAATATGGCTACAAAACAGGCTATGGTTGTGTTCCAGTCTCCACTGGCTGTTGCTGAGGCTTTACCAACCAGAACACTGTAGAAAATGAAATCTCCCAATCCAAGTTTTACTCCCCCTAAAAAGGAAAGATTACAAATATTAAAACGTTGGTCACTCTTTGCTATGATTTCACAATTAAAAAATATCGCTGCCCTACTCAACCCCACAATGAATGAGAAAAGTCAGTAAATGATACATACAATTAGGCTTTAGCTGGGTTTTCTTTCTTTTTTCGTTTTCTACAACAGGAGTTCCAGATTCTATGTGACTGTCTCTGGAGTCTTAACTATAGATGCTGCCATTTATCAATAACAATAAGTAATAATTGTCGTCTATTGAATGTCTAGTTTATACCCAGCACTTGTACTAAGAAATTCTTACAAGGATTCTTATGAAATAGGCATCACTTTATCATCTGATTTTTTTAAAAATAGCTTCATTGGGCTATGATTTATGTTATAAAACTTTAAGAGACAATTCAATGATTGTGGAAAATTTATAGAGCTGTACAACTATCATCACGATCCACATGTCCACCGCCCCCATTAGGTACCTTGTACCTGTTTACAGTTAATTCCCCTCCTATCCTAGGTCTTAAGCAACCACTGAACTGTTTTCTATCTTAATAAATTTGTCTTTTCTGCACATCTCACATGACTCATACAGTATGTGCCTGGCCTATTTTACATAATATAATACAATATAATATAAAATATAATATAATGCTTTTGAGGTTTATCCATGACATTGCATGTGTCTATAGTTTCTTCCTTTTTATTGGAAGTTACTGGAAGCTGAATGGTTTTCTATTATATGATTTGCTTATCCATTTACCAGTTGATGGACATCTGGATTGTTTTCAGTTGGGGGCTATTCTGAATTATGCTGCTATGAACATTCATGACCATGTCCCTGTGGGAACGGATTCCTTTCATTTCTGTTGGGTAGACTCCTGGGAGTGCAACTGCTGGGCTATGTAAGTTTAGGTTTTTAGCTTTTTGATAAACTGCCAAATCATGTTCCACACTGGCTGTGCCAGTTTGCATTTCCACCAGCAACAATTGAGAGTTTCAGTTTCTTCACATCCTCACTAGCACTTGGTATTGTTAGTCTTTTGATTCTAGCACGCTGATTAATGATGTTAAGCAGCTTTTTATATGCTTATTAGCCATTAAATATCTCTTTTGGTGAAATGTCTAGTCAAAGCATTTTCTTATCTTAAATTTGGGCTATCGTCTTCTTATTAAGTTGTAAACATCCTTTATATATATCTTAAATACCAGTCCTTTAACAGGACTTCAATACGATTGCAAGTATTTTCTCTCAGCTGATAACTTACTTTCCTTTTTTTTTTTTTTAAAGTGATCTCGCCCCACTGGAACCTCCACCTCCTGGTTTCAAGCAATTCTCCTGCCTCAGTCTCTTGAGTAGCTGGGATTACAGATATGCGCCACCATGTCTGGCTAATTTTTATATTTTTAGTAGATACTGGGTTTCAACATGTTGGCCAGGCTGGTCTCAAACTCCCAACCTCAGGTGATCCACCCACCAAGGCCTCCCAAAGTGCTGGCATTACAGGCATGAGCCACCACACCTGGCCTTCTGCTTCTTAATGGTATTAAAAAAAATTTTTTTTGGCCAGGCGCAGTGGCTTACACCTATAATCCCAGCACTTTGGGAGGCCAAGGTGGGCAGATCAATTGAGGTCAGGAGTTTAAGACCAGCCTGGCCAACATGGTGAAGGCCTGTCTCTACTAAAAATACAAAAATTAGCCAGGTGTCTTGATGTGCACCTGTAGTTCCAGCTACTCGGGAGCCTGAGGCAGGAGTATTGCTTGAACCTAGGAGGCAGAGGTTGCAGTAAGCTAAGATCATGCCACTGCACTCCAGCCTGGGCAACAAGAGTGAAACTCTGTCTCAAACAAAAATAAAAAATAAAAATTTAATTGTGGTAAGATACCCATAAAGTTTACCACCTTAACCCTTTTTCAGTGAACAGTTCAACGACTCTAGGTATAATCATATCACTGTGCTACCATCACCATCTATCCATAGAACTCTTCGTCTTGTAAAACTGAAACTCTATACCCATTAAACAGTGATTCTTCATTTCCCTCCCCCTAGCCCCTGGCAACCACCGTTCTACTTTCTGACTCTATTGAGTTTAATAGTCTGATATAAGCAGAATATTTTTCTTTTTGTAACTGGCTTATTTCACTTAGCATAATATCTTCAATATTTATTCATGTTGTAACATGTCAGAATTCCCTTCCTTTTTAAAGCTGAATAATAAAACTGAACAAAAATTTAAATTAGAAATGTAAGACATTTTTATTCACTGCAAAGGTAGCTGGTTTTTTAGCGAATTTCAAGATTTACTTCCCACAGCCAACAGCCCAGTAACAGGCTCATCCTAAGTGTACTACTGATAGACTGTTTCTTTTTATAACCAAGCAATATTCTGTTGTATCTATATACCACATTTATTATCCACTTATCAGTTAATAGACATGTGGGTTATTTCCATTTTTGCCTGTTATAACAATTATTACTATGACCATTTGTGTATGTGTCTTTGTGTTGACATGTTTTATTTCTCAAGCATATATGGAGGAGTAGAATTACTGGGTCACATTTAATCTTTTAAAGAACTACCGAACTGTTTCCCAAAATCACCATACTATTTTACATTCCCAACAGCAATATATGAGGATTCTAGTTTCTTCACATTCTCACCAACATCTGCTATCTTTTTTATTATAGCCATTCTAGTAGGTATAAAGTGGTATCTATTGTGGTTTTGATTTGCATTTCCCTGATGGCTAATGATGTTGAGTATCTTTTCATGTGTTTATTGACCATTTTTACATTTTCTTTGGAGAACTATACATTCAGATCCTTTGATCAGTTTTCTAGTTAAATGTTAAATGTTGACTTTTTAACAGGTTGTTTTGGAAGACATTTGTGCCTTTTAGCAACTGACTTCTGGTGTAAACTGAACCTTTTTGTAAGTACCCATAAGTCTGGTTTAACATATTCAAACCATCAGAAACGATGACGTTGTGTGCTGAATGATAAGATGATGAAACACGTCTGTTATACTTTATATTGGATTCAGAGTAAGAAAATACTGATCTGAAGTTAGGAGGGGAAATACAAAAGTTTCCTTTTTTTAAAAAGAGTTGGAGATGAAGAGGAGGAGGACACAAAGAGTACTCTCAGGAGAAAGAATCTTCAAATTAGAAAAGGCAGTCATGTAAGAATTACGTTACTGCTCTGGTCAACAACTATTACATATTCTTTCTTTTGGTTCCTGGTACCTGTGAGAAAAAAGAAAAGTAGCAGAAGAGGCAACCTAATTATGGTGGTAACTGAGGGCAGAAAAAAATCCCAGCAAAGGCAAGCTAAAGCCTGCTCTAAGAGCAGGAAGATACGTCTACTTTCCCAGGAGTGTGCAAGTCATAGGCTGCGGCTGGGCTTTGATATCTGGGAAAATCAGCCAAGCAGTAAAGTCATGAATATGCCCAGTCAAGGTTCTGACTCAGTTAAAAGCTTGAGGACAAGGTGTAAAAATTGTTCTCCTCAAACTGAAGGATAATGTCAAAGTCATAATTAGTGACTAATAATTAAAGATGCTAAGGAAACTGGGCGTTTGTTTCTTTAAAACTACTTAATATTCTTGTTGCAATGTTTTAATCAAGTTTCACTTTTGCAAAAACAAGAAAACCAAAAATAACTTGGGAAATATGCTAAACTCATTCAATGAACCACATCTCTAAGACTACCTGAAGAGATGGTTGAGCCCCAACCAAGGGGCTTTAATGGCTGCTGTTCCTAAGAAGCCCTATGTGTTACCTTAAATCTATCAAGCGGGACACATCTCAAGACACTGAAGAAATACTTGCATTTCTGCCAATATCTTAAATCTCTTTTTCTTTAAAATTAATAAAATATGGCACTTGCCAACAAAGGAATAATATACAAGGTTGTATCACGTAAATCTCCAGGTGTCTGTACAGCAGAGTGAAGCATATTAATGAAATTTTTGTAGACAAGTATATTACAGCCATGAAGTCTTATTGGAATAATTTAAAAATTTTTTTTTTGCTTTATAAAATAAATGCCAAAAGGTCAGGCTGTAAAAGGCCAACTTAAAAAGTCTGAAGGGAAGAATTTGGCCTATCGACCAACTTTTTATTTATTTATTTATTTTTAGGTCTTAGGATTAACCAATTTTTTAATAATAAAAAGCACTATTACTGATATTTCCCACTAAAAGCTATATGTGATACAGAATTAGACTGTAACACTCTCAATTCATTTTACTTTTGAAAAGATTGATAATGCAGCCGCCTAAAGGAATCCATGACTTTGCAACATAGAGAAATGCACATACTTTCCTCTGGGTCTTCACCAGCAAGGATGCTGCTGGAAAGTTCCTGGACAGCAGCCCGTGACTCGGGTGTAGAGCGATGAGGCCCTAGATGACTGTCCCTCTGGGCTTCCCATTCCTCACTGAAGCCGCCATCATCATTCTCTGCAACAGTGTCTTGTGACTCCCTTTCTGTGTCTTCAAGAGAAAGTGAAAGTTACAGCTCTAATATTTAGAAAAACTTAATACCTTTAAGAAAATTACATGGAAAGAGTAACTAGCTGACTGTCACTGTAACTAGCAGGCCCTTAAACCACAAAGCACAGGCTGTACCAGTGCCTGCTGGTGGTTTATCCAACAGCGGTTTTCCCCCTTATTTCCTGAGGGCAGAATCCTGAACTGTTTGGGTTTCCACCCTTCTCCCACATGACTCTGAGGGTAAATCCTGACCAATCCAAGCCAAGCATAGTAATCCCACCACCATACCTCTTCCTAACGAAAGCTCTAAGGCTGTGAGGTTGTGACTTGGTATGAACCAATGAGTGGAAAAGCAAAGTCTGCTAGGATACCTGGGGAAATTTTTCTCACTCTTTAAGAGAGACTAAAGGAAAAAATAAACAGTCCCCTTCTTCCCTTGACTGTTGGCTTATCTAGATATGATGCCTAGAACTACAGCTGTCCTGACCAAGAGGAGCAGTGGGCTGAAGACCAAGCCTATACACTAGTGATGGTAGAGTACGAGGCTGGGCTGCTTGAAAACATCCATGAGCCACCAAATTAACCAACCCTACAAATTTCAAATGTCTACACCTCAGGCCTTCCTGTCACATCAAATAATACATTTCTTCTTTGTTTAAGGCAACTGAGTTGGGCTTTTTATCTTTTGCAACTGAAAGATTCCTAACTGTTGGCACTCACCTTTGGATTTAGTGACAAAGTTATAGAAAGTGACTTCATTCTGGAGGGTGGATTGGGAAAGGAGGGGGAGTGAATGTCTTTATGGGTCAGTTATTTTGTTATAATGATATCAATCTGATTGAAAATGGTGAGCACAACAGTCTGAAAAACTTCCATACATTAAGAATTAAAATATGTAAATAATATTCAAAATACTTTTATTTTTCTTTCATTTTTTATAAAAGTAATACATGCTCAGAAAAGAAGTAGATTTACCATGAATAAGTAAAGCTTCCTTGCATGGCTTCCTCTGAGAGAGCCTTCACAATTTGGTATTGGTAGTTTTATGTTTTTTTTATTAACCAGGTCTCCACAAAACCTGAATCACCTCTAGTTTGGAGTTTATAAAATCATATAAGAATAAGATTTATAGGCCAGGCGTGGTGGCTCACGCCTGTAATCCCAGCACTTTGGGAGGCTGAGGAGGTGGATCACCTGAGGTCAGGAGTTCAAGACCAGCCTGCCCAACATGGTGAAACCCCGTCCCTACAAAAAAAAAAAAAAAAATTAAGATTTATAAATGAAAACAGCAGTGCCTGTTCTGCCCCCTCCCTCCTCACTCATTCCTACTTTCTTTTGGTATTTACCTCCATAATTAATTATAAGTAGCATGCTCCTTGAGGCATAACTTGATGTTTTAATTTTGGGTACTTATTCACCTCCTATAGAGAGGATAAAGCATTAGGTCTCATCCTCTTATGCATGCATACAGATGTAACTCTTCCTGTCTTCCCAATGCCATAACCTTATGTTAAATTCAGTTTTATATTCTCACTACGCAAACAGTATTCATAACTAAACTACTCTGCCACAGTCAGAATATACTATAATTACGTTTGCTTTCTTGAACAAGTTTTTGTTTTCTTAGAAAAACTGCCTCATTTTTTTCCATTGATGAATTTTATATTATCTATGACTAATTTATCCTCAAATGCTCTGACAGTTCAACCACATCAGGTAATCTCTCAGTTCTTTGTTTTTTTCTTGCACAGATATCCCTCCTGTAGCCCTACGCCCTTTTGTTCCAATATAACTTCTAGTTCCATTAACACAGTGATTGTCAATTAGGGATAGCACCTTCCTTCCAGGGGGTGTTTGAAAATAATTAGGGTAGAGGAGTTTTTTTTTTTTTTTTTTTTTTTTTTGAGACGGAGTTTCGCTCTTGTTACCCAGGCTGGAGTGCAATGGCGCGATCTCGGCTCACCGCAACCTCCGCCTCCCAGGTTCAGGCAATTCTCCTGCCCCAGCCTCCTGAGTCGCTGGGATTACAGGCACACGCCACCATGCCCAGCTAATTTTTTGTAGTTTTAGTAGAGACGGGGTTTCACCGTGTTGACCAGGATGGTCTCGATCTCTTGACCTCGTGATCCACCCGCCTCGGCCTCCCAAAGTGCTGGGATTACAGGCTTGAGCCACCGCGCCCGGCTGTAGAGGAGTTTTTTATTATCACAAGGCCTCAAAGCCATTATTGGCATTTAGTGGGTGAGAGGCAAGGGATGTTAAATATCTTGCAATGTGTGGGGAAGTCCCACAGAATAAAGAACTGTGCCCCCCAAGTTCCTCAGTGAGAGCAGCACTCTCACTGAGGAAGCTCCTGTAGTTCATCCAGCCTTCTCATTTCAAAGCCCTCACTCATGTTGTCCCTCTCCTGGAAAGCTCTTCCTCCACCCTTCAGCTGGCCATCACCTATTATCACTTCTTCAGGGAAGCACCCCTTGACTTTTCAGGATACCTAAGATTCCCCTATTACAAACTTTCATAGCAAATTACACATCTTCTTTGTAACACCTATCACAACTGTATGAATTATTTATGTAATAATTTCTTGACCTAGCTCCCCTAACAGACTATATATAAGCTCCACAAGGGAAGGGGAATCTTGTTCAGTAATATATCCCCAGGGCCTAGCACAGATTCAGGTGCTCAGCCAACATCTATCAAAGGAATGAAATCTTGATATATCACTCATACTCACACATATATATATATATATATCCCTTCATGCTCACAGACATCCGTTTTGATTTTCTTTAGCTTAACACAGGTTAACACAAGAACCAGGCTATGGCAATTCTTTCCAGTATATTTCTTACTTTTCTATCAGGTTTACTAGTGGTCTTGATGGCAGCAGTGGCCCATCTGGAGTGGCTGCTGCAAAGATGCCAGCTGCAGCAGGGGGGGTACAGCGAGGGCTGCACGCTCTGCTAGCTGGTGGGAGCCAGGAACAGGCAGGAGCCCTGCCTCCTTCCGAGTTGGTGGGACAGAAGCCCCGCACTCCCACAGCTGCAGCTTCCCAGCTGTGGCTGTAGACCTGGGCATCCCTGCACTCTCAGGGGTCCAGGAAACAGGACAACCTGTCCTCAGACAGAAGCTACCCACTCCAGGTTTCCTCTCCATGGAGGGCTGCAGAGACAATGGGACAACCTGCATGCAGATAGGCATTACCCACTTCAGATCTCCTGAGTTGTACTGTTGCTCAATAAAGCATCTCTTCATCTTGTTCTCCCTCCAGCTGTCCATGTACTTTTTTCTTCCTGGACATGGGACAATAACTTGGGACCCGTTAAATAGAAGGACTGAAAGGGCAGTGACACAAATAGGGCTGAAACATGCCCCTCACTTGCCATATTGCAGGTGTTGAGAAGGAGAGAAGAGAGAAGGAGTAAAGAGCTGTGGCCTTTTGGGGAGCCCAGCCTCAGGAGTTTCCTAAGCTAGGGCTGTGACACCCTCTTTGGGGTTTTGCAGTTCCTGACATCTCTAGCTTCTGAGTGCCACTGCGTTCCCCAGTGCCTGTAGTGGGAGCCGCTTAGGGAATGCCTGGTCTAGCTGCAACAGAGAGCTGATACCTGGAGCTGCCCACCCTGCCATAGCCAGCATGCCTGGCTGTGCCCAGTGGCCAGACACTGCACTCACTCACACACTTCTCACTGTTCCACACCTGGCTTGCCTTTGGCAGGCGTGGGGTCCAGCCAGTAGTGAAAGCCAAGCACAGCCAGCCAAAATGGTAGGTAGAATGAGCCCAGCAAGCCTGAGCAAATCTCAGGCAAAAGTGCCATTGGCCACAGAGGTTTCTGGCTAGCAAAGTGATACCCTAAGAATCCCATGACAATCTAACATCACCTTGTTCTGCTGCCTTGCTTACTATGGAATAAAGACTGGTATGTGCATTCCAAATAGGAATTCCTGGTTGAAAGTATCTCCCTGCAGTTGCCCAGATGCTAATTCTATAGTTTTCCTGGCTTTACAGAACATAAACTCCCTTTCCTGAAAACACAGCAACTCAATTAAGGCCTTTTTTCCTCACCAATATTTATTATGCCTGTTTTTCAGATTTCTCATAGAGTTAGCCCTTTTTTGGTTTTCTTTAAAAAAAAAAATAAGCTTCCTTTTTTATTTTTATTTTTTTACTATTTATAGTGTGCTATTATTCCTCAACTCTTTTAGTGTGTGTAGCAGGGTAGCCTTTATTCCAGAAAACTAAACGAAGCTCCCCCTCAACTCCATTTAATAACAACTTTTAACCTGTGTTCTCCTTAATATGTTCTGTAGTATCCATAGAGGGCCTTTCAGTCTCTCATTCTAAGTCATTATTATTTATTATTATTTTTGAGACAAGGTCTCACTAAGTTGCCCAGGCTAATCTGGAACTCCTTGGCCGCCCACATAGCTGGGACTATAGGCATACACCACTGCACCTAGCTCATTCTAAGCCATTCTTATTCTAGAAAGTCATATCCACCTAGAATATTTGATCTTCTCAGTATAAACATCAGTACATCTCAAATTACATTTCAGTTACTCTGGTTATGTAAGACAAGAAGTTCTCATTTTTATGTTGTTTTTATCTTGCTTTGTTTACTTATTTTTCCTTTATTGTCTGTTTCTTTTTTGCTTGTTTCTTTTAGGAGGTTCTTACTTTTACATGTTTGGAGAGTGTTTACTTTTTCTTTTTAAAATCATGATCTTTAAAAAATAAACAAACAAAACCAAAATCATAACCTCAATCTGAACCTTTCAATACTGGTATTCTGTATTTAATGGGAGATGTCTTAACCTAGGGTGCCTTGACTGTATTGTTGGGTTTCGAGTATCTGAACTTCAATATTTATCTGTGTATTTACTGGGCATTACCATAGTTTTCAAGAGATTCTTAAGGGAGTCTATGACCAAAGAGATGATAAAATCATTGCTACACTGTTAGCTTATAAGATGACAGTGACCCTGAAAAACCAAGATATTATCAACTAAAAGTTACCTACTTTCTGCATTATACTTGGAGTTTTTGGATACCCTCCTTTGAGCTTCCGGGTCTCCTTCAGCCATATTCACCAACCACACCATTGTTGCTGTTGAGAAAGACAAAATTCCAGGTAAGTACTGGACACACAAAGGAAAATGTATGCACAGACAGCAGCAGGCCATCATTTCTCCACACAGATCGCCAATCTTCCTAATGCTGCCTTAAGAATGTTTAACAATCAGAAGTAAAAATGATAGGGAGTCGTGGGTCCAGCCGCGTTCAGAGCACGAGAGGCTCTGGGAGCTCAGTGAGGCTGCAGGCGCCTGCGGCCACCGGCGAACAAGATAGGCTGCTCTGGCTTGGGACCCCTAGGCAGGACCACCATCCTCTCCAGAATGAAGACCCTGCTGGTGCTGCTGGCTGCCCTTCTGGGTGTTGAGTGAGCCAGCTCACTGATGTGCTTCTCCTGCCTAAACCAGAAGAGCAATCTGTACTGCCTGAAGCCCACCATCTGCTCCGACCAGGACAACTACTGCCTGACGGTGACTGCGTACGCTGGCATCAGAAAGATCGTCACATTTGGCCACACCCTGAGCCAGTCCTGTTCCCCAGCCTGTCCCCTCCCAGGAAACATCAATACTGGTATAGCTTCCATGGCCATCCGCTGCTGCCAGGGTTTCCTGTGCAATTTCAGCGCAACCGACGGCAGGCTGCGGCCCAGCGCCACCCTGCTGGGTGCCGTACTGCTGCTGAGCCTGTTGCCTGCCCTGCTGCGTTTCGGCCCCTGACCGCCCAGATCCTGTCCCCGGCCCCCTAGCTCAGGAAGCAAAGCCCAGCCCTTTCTGGATCCCACAAAGATCTGAGAGCCCCTGACTCCTCACGTGCCTGATTCGTGCCCTTGGTCCCAGGTCAGGCCCACCCCCTGCACCTCCACCTGCCCCAGCCCTGCCTCTGCCCCAGGTGGGGCCACCTGCCCTCACTTCTGGGGTCGATGATGTGACCTTCCTTGGGGGACTGTGGAAGAGATGAGGGTCCCCTGGAGTCTTAGGGTCCAGCGTCAGGACCAAGTCTCGTGGACATACAGAGAGAGCCCCCAGGGAGGCTGTGCCAGTAGAGATGTGTGCCCGTGGGGGGTACGTGGGTGTGCTGTGCAGGTGTGAGCACATGGCAGTTTCTGGGGCCTGTGTTTGGGGAGGGAGGGGGGCCAGCAGCCTGCAGAGCCCCAGTCCCCTATAGCCCCCTGCCCTGGCACAGTCTCACGCCCTTCAAGAGCAGCCTTTTGGGGGTGGGGTTTCCATGGCTTCCAGGTCTAGGCCCCCGCCCCAAATCCAGCCAGCCCTGCCCCAGCCCACCCCCATATTGGAGTCCTACTGCTTCGGTGCCTCAAATAAATACAGATTTCCCCCTCCACAAAAAAAAGTAAAAATAATAAAAGGTTCTCTTTGGTTTTAGCAGATAAAAGAAAAAGTTCTGAAACTGAATGTTTACTGTAGTGCTCAAACAGCATTTCCTATCACAAAACTGTTCATCATCATTTTTAGTCCCTGAAAAGTAACCAGAAGGAAAACTGCTCAGGCCAGCAAGATTCCACTGAAACAACAGTGGGACTAGTTTAATGTTCTAAACTCCAGGACAAAGTGGAGCTCACAAAAGCCTCAGATGGAAATTATAATTCAAAAGATGCACGGAATAAATTTCCTTCATATTACGTCTCACTTTTAGAATGTTCAATAATGCTAAGCCCTGTTTTAAACATGGAGTAAGAAAAAAAGTTAAAAGCAGTAAACATAATAGGGATAGTCAAGTGGCCTCCTTTGTGTCCCTTCTACAAAGATACATGTATATCAATATATCAACCCAGATCTAGATACACACGTGTGCATCTCTACCACATTTTAGCTCAGAGACCATGGGAAAACTTTAAAATGGTGCTTCTCTCTTACATATTTCAGGCAGGACTGAAAAATGGTATAGTCCCCATTGGAGGGAAATTTAGTAACATCTTGTAAAACTACACATGCAATAACCCTTTAATCTGGCAATAATACATTTTGGAACTTATCCTGAAGATACATCAACAATAACACAATAATAAAGTACATATAAGCAAACACATGCCATATGGGGCTACGGTGGGAACCAAATGCCAGCAGCAATCTGAGTCGAATCTGTTTATAGTAATTTTAAACAAGATACTTGGCATTTATGTCCCTCTGGCCTTTTATCACTATAATTTTATCCATGTTTCTAATACTCAGGCTTCTTGAAGAACTTATGAAAGAAATGCACAAGCAAAGAAGCTGAACCACTGCCTTGTTATTTCTGAGGACAACCAAGTTTCATTATAGAATAACCCAACCAAATGATCAAAAGTTAATAGAAACAAGACAGGGAAAACACTGTTTAACTAAATCCAGATCTAAAGAAGAAAAACTGAAGGGCAACCACCATGTGTGAGGTTTATGGATTTGTATTTTTATTTTTTTGTAAAAACAGGGTCTCACTATGTTGCCCAAGCTGGACTCAAAACTCCTGGGCTCAGGCAATCCTCCCGCCTCGGCCTCCCAAAGTGCTAGGATTACAGGCATGAGCCACTGCACCCAGCCTGTTTATGAATTTCTATAGCCTTCTGGAAATGAAGTCAGCAGCAATTTATTTGTTTTTCTTTCTTTATGCAAGTATGAAAAAAATATAGCTGTAAGCCCTTTTGTTTTAGCATTTAATAGTATCATGAAAATCAACATTTTCTGTAAATGGCCAGGCAGTAAACAATTTAGGTTTTGTGTCACATATTCTTGTTTTTTTGTTTTGTTTTGTTTTTAAACAACCTTTTAAAAATGTAAAAAGCATTCTTAGCTTATAAGCTGTACAAAAACAGGCCATGGGCTACATTTGGCTTCAAGCAGTAGTTTGCTGACCCCATGGTAATTATCATAAATAGTATATTTGTTGAAGAAATAGTACTAAAATAATCTTTTTGAGATCGAGTGTTGCTCTGTCACCCAGGCTGGAGTGCAATGGTGGCTCACTGCAACCTCTGCCTCCTGGGTTCAAGCGATTCTCCTGCCTCAGCCTCCCGAGTAGCTGAGATTACAGGTGCATACCACCACACCCAGCTAATTTTTTGTATTTTTAGTAGACACAGGGTTTCACTGTGTTAGCCAGGATGGTCACGATCTCCTGACCTTGTGATCCACCCGCCTCAGCCCCCTTAAGTGCTGGGAATATAGGCATCAGCCTCGGCGGCCAGCCCCTAATATAATATTTTTAAAAATCACTTTTCTTTCACTTTAACACCAAACACCTTATATCAGTAGAAAAATAAGCAGATTTTTTTTTAAGTTAAAAGAAAAGAGGCTGGGGGCAGTGGCTCACGCCTCTAATCCCAGCACTTTGGGAGGCCAAGGCAGGTGGATCACCTGAGGTTGGGAGTTCAAGACCAGCCTGACCAACATGGCAAAACCCTGTCTCCACTAAAAACACAAAAATTAGCTGGGTGTGGTGGCAGGTGCCTGTAATCCCAGCTACTCAAGAGGCTGAGGCAGGAGAATAGCTTAAACCCAGGAGGCAGAGGTTGCAGTGAGCCAAGATTGTGCCATTGCCCTCCAGCCTGGGCAGTAAGAACAAAACTCCGTCTCAAAAAAATAATTTTTTTTGCTTTTAATGTAGCCTAGGCTGATCGTGAACTGCTGGGCTCAAGCAATCCTCCTGCCTCTACCTCCCAAAGTCCTGGGATTACAGGCATACCTGGCTATAAAATATTGCAGATTTAAAAATTAATACAACCTTTAACTGAGACAAAATCAAAGAAAAAGCTTTAGGTAAAATGATCTCTCTCGGCCGGGCATGGTGGCTCACGCCTATAATCCTAGCAATTTGGGAGACCGAGGCAAGTGGATGACGAGGTCAAGAGATCAAGACCATCGTGGTCAACATGGTGAAACCCTGTCTCTACTAAAAATACAAAAATTAGCTGGGCATGGTGGCACGCACCTGTAATCCCAGCTACTCGGGAGGCTGAGGCAGGAGAATTGCTTGAACCCAGGAGGCTGAGGTTGCAGTGAGCCGAGATTGCGCCATTGCACTCCAGCTTGGGTAACAAGAGCAAAACTCCATCTCAAAAAAAAAAAATGGTCTATCTCAAAGAATTGTTATTTTCCCTTCTAGTTAAGCTCCCAGAGTAAACTGCCTTTACCAATGCCTACAAGGGAAGAATGAATTAGTTCAAAGAGTAGGTGTATATTTTTTGTCAAACGACAGAATTAAAAAACCAAAAATGCTCATACATTTCCTGTTAGTAAGAGTATTTTGCAAACTGAATACCCTTAACTAGGAAACAGTATTAAAATCCATAAAAGAATTATATTTATTGATTTTTAGAAAACAAATAGCCAGGATGACTGATTTAAAACTTTTAATATTCATGTTTATATCCACTTCAGGGAAAAAGTACTGACTGGTATTGCTGTTTCTTACATTCTGTTAAAAAAAACAAAGTCTGAAGGTGCAGTGGCTCATGCCACTATAATTCCAGTACGTTGGGAGGCTGAGGCAGTCAGATCACTTGAGGTCAGGAGTTCAAGACCAGCATGGCCAACATGTTGAAACTCTGTCTCTACTACAAATACAAAAAGAAAAACCTGCCAGCTATGGTGGCAGGCATCTGTAATCTCAGCTATTTGGGAGGCTGAGGCAGGAGAATCACTTGAACCCAGAAAGCAGAGGTTGCAGTGAGCTGAGATCGCACCACTGCACTCTAGCTTGGGCAACAAGAGGCAAGCTCCGTCTCAAAAAAACAAAACAAACCTCTCAAATTCAGTGATTCATAAAATCTTCACAAGACATTTACTATTGCAAAAGAACAGATGCATTCTTCACCCTACCTGATCTACATCGGAGATAAAGGTTTATACTCCTATTTTCCCACATATGTTGAATTGTTTTTAAAATATCTCAGAATGTCTTATGTTCTGTGGTCATTAAATAGGCTTGAGAGCTTTTCAAAAAATATATGCTCACCAGGCCAGGCACAGTGACTCATGCCTGTACTCTCAGCACTTTGGGAGGCCTAGGCAGGCCGATCACGAGGTCAGGAGTTCAAGGCCAGCCTGACCAATATGGTGAAACCCCATCTCTACCAAAAAAAAAAACAGTCACAAATCTTCCCTCTCCTTTAAACACCTTTCCTCAAACCTGTTCCCCTGTCAGGTCACCACCTGCTCTGCCTGTGAGACGGAAATCTTTGATGTAGTACATGACATTTATTACTCTCCTTCTTCACCACCCATTCTCTGCCTACACCATCACTTCCACTGCCAGCACTGGCAAAACACAGACACATGCACCTTCCCTGTGGAATATTGCTTCTGGTCCTATTTCTCCACTGAACTTGCTCTCTTCAATGTCACTAATGACATGTTAGGCAGCAAATCCTGTATGGTTTGCTTAGTCCTCATTACCCTTTGACTTCTTCATCATATTTTATATTCTTTTATTTATTTTTTTTTTTTGAGATGGAGTCTTGCTCTGTCACCCAGGCTGGAGTGCAGTGGCGCGATCATGGCTTCCTGCAACCTCCACCTCCTGGGTTCAAGTGATTCTCCCGCCTCAGCCTCCCAAGTAACTGGGATTACAAATGTGCACCACCACACCCAGCTAATTTTTACATTTTTAGTAGAGACGGCCTTTCGCCATGTTGGCCAGGCTGGTCTCAAACTCCTGAGCTCAAATGATCCGCCCACCTAGGCCTCCCAAAGTGCTGGGATTACAGGCATGAGCCACCACGCCTGGCCTCTCTCCTTCTTGAAATTGGTTTTCCAATAACTCAACAGAAAAATAGGCAAAAAAAAAATCTATAAGAATATACAACAAACTGGTATCAGGAGTAAATACCTGATAAGGCATTAAGATTAAGGATGACAGTTACCACAAAATTTATTTTTATCTGTAATTTTTATCTTTTTTCAAGGATATTACTTGTATAAGATTAATTTTACAGGGCCGGTAGCGGTGGGTCACACCCATAATCCTAACACTTTGGGAGGCTGAGGCAGTTAGACCGCTTGAGACCAGCCTGGCCAACATGGTGAAACACTGTCTCTACTAAAAAGACAAAAATTAGCCAGGCGTGATGGTACACACCTGTAATTCCAGCTCTCAGGAAGCTGAGGCAAGAGAATCGCTTGAACATGGGAAATGGAGTTCGCAGTGAGTTAAGATTGGGTCACTATATGAGTGACAGAAGGAGACCCCATCTCAAAATTTTAAAAAAGTTATTTTTTTGTCTATTAGATAACTCTCTCTCTCTCTCTCTCTCTCTCTCTCTCTCAGATGGAGTCTTGGTCTGTCACCCAGGCTAGAGGGCAGCGGCACAATCTTGGCTCACTGCAACCTCCACCTCCCGGGTTCAAGCCATTCTCCTGCCTCAGGCTCTGAAGTAGCTGGGATTACAGGCGCCCATCACCACACCTGGCAAATTTTTGTATTTTTAGTAGAGGGGGTTTGACCATCTTGACCAGGCTGGTCTCAAACTCCTGACCTCATGATCTACCCACCTCAGACTCCCAAAGTGCTGGGATTACAGGTGTAAGCCACTGTGCCCAGCCGGAAATTGGTACTTCCAAATTACTGAAGAGAATGCGAACTGGCATAGCTTTTTTAGGAAGTAATTTAGCAAACTGTCAAAATTTAAATACATACATCCTCTGACTTAGCAATTCTACTCTAAGAATACATTTTATAATAACATTCACAAGTTCATGGATGTTCTCTCTAAGTGCTGTGATAGAAAAGAAATAGAAAAGAAATGGAAATGATCTAAATGTCTACCAATGAGGATACCCACCACTGAATATCTACGCAGGAGAACACTATGCAGCCATTTCATGTGCTGACATCAAAAAAGTCATGATATTGTTAAGTGAAAAATACTGGCTTTCCCAATTTTCTGATATTTTCTTCTACTTCCTTTAGTATCTTCTCTTCATTGTCTCATTCTCTAAACAGAGCAGTTGACAAAGTGACCCTTGTCTTCCTCTTCTCTTCTGCTTTTATTTGAATTGCTCAACAGCTCACAGAGCCTAACTACCACCTCTCTGCTGATGTTCTTCAAGTCTGTATCACGAATATCAACTTTTTCCCAAGTGCTAGTACTTCATTTCTAAACTTCTGCTAGAAATGTCTACCTCAGTGAACCACACATCCTGTCAACTAAATTAGATATGAACCACAAAAAGATATAAAACAAATCAGACCCCTCACACAAGAAAATGTGGTTAGGTGTGGTGGCTCATACCTGTAACCCCAGCACTTTGGGAAGTCAAGGTGGGAAGATTGCTTAAGCCCAAGAGTTCAAGACCAGCCTGGGCAACATGGCAAAACCCTGTCTCTACATAAAATACAAAAAAATCATGGTGGCACGTGCCTGTAGTCACAGCTACTCAGGAGGCTGAGGTGAGTGGATCACTTGAGCCTGGGAGGTTGAGGCTGCAGTGAGCCGTGATCATACCACTGCACTCCAGCCTGGGCGGGAGTGAGACCCTGTCTCAAAAACAATAAGAAAATACAGGAAAACATTTTTTCTTCCCCGCTTTCCTTCAAGCTTAAAACTTCTCTCCTCAGTTGCTAGAACTATTGATTCAACCTCTGAAACCTCCATTAACTCTTTCCCTTGATTGCTACTGCCACTACTGTAATTCAAGCCCTCATTACTTTCCACCTAGATCATGGCAATATCATCTTAGTTATGTTTAGTATGCCTCTCATGATCTCAGAGTCTACCCCACCAATTCATCTTACACAGTGCTGCCAGCTTACAAAGGCACAGCTCTGCTCACATTACGTTTCTGCTCAACGATCTCAGTTCCTAAGGGATCTCTGAATAGCAGACAGACATCTAAACCAGTCGCTTGAAGGAATCCTTGAGCTTGCCCTAATCGATAGCACCTAACAAGTTTTTAAATGGGAATGCTGGTTCCCCAGTATCTAAATATTTATTTTCTTTCTATTCATATTGAAAACTCTCTTGAATCAACATCAGGTAGAAGACAATCGCCTGCAAGGAAACAGATCTGTAGGAGTTCCATGAATGCTGTGTATTTAAGATGAGAATAAGTACCATGAAAATGACCACAGGTACATGTGCTTCAGTTCCTATAAATTCTACACTGATTACTAATTCAACATCATTCTCAAATACTTACAGGAGTAAATGAGAGCTGGAAAAAGTGTTTCATTTCTCTCCTGAGCTGTTTCAACCAGCATACGAAGTGGACCTTTTGGACACAAAACAGCCACTAAATCTAGAAAAAGAAAAAGAGAAAAGACATCTGATAAAATGTATGGGCTCAACTTGTAAATGGGTGTTAGGAATTAATGAAGCGAAAACATTTAATGTTGTTTCTTTTTACACAAAAAGATGTTGAATTGATATGAAACAATGGCAGGTGAACTGGTAGGGGTGAGGGGGACCACCTAAACAAAATAAAATCACACAGAACAGCTGTAAAAATTTCATTTTGGGTTTGACTGCTATTTGCTTAGTGTGCAATGTCATTACTAGGTTCTACAAATAAGTCTTCCCAGTATAAAGGAAAGCTGCAGAGATGAGACTATTTTAGAGCAGTTGTCAACCTACAGTGAGCAGAAACAGAAAGAAGTCACTTCTAAACTAGTCACAGGTATGAACTATAAAGAAAGATTACTTCAAGAGGAATTTAATAAAAGGAATTCGACTGAACTTTTCAAAATATGAAGTGAATAGAAGAAACGCATCCCTTCTCCTTTTTAAAAGCAGTATTACGTATTACTGAGAAATACTTGAAATAAGAGGGCAGTTATTTTTTGATTTCTTCTTTGAGGAACCAAGAGGTCAATAAATTTAAATAAAACAAAATAGTAAGTCTTTGCAAGATAAAGTTTATTATTTCTTTACTCTCTGGTCAAATAAAAGAACTTCACAAATATTCAGGTCTCAGAACATATATGGTGCTGAAAAGTAGCTTATTTTACAAAAATAGTAAATCAGAGAGGAAGCAATATACCTAAATTATTTCCATTTATATCACCATTTCTTTCCATCAACAGCAATTTTTCTTTCATTTTCTGTCATGAAAATTCAGCATATAAAAATATAATTTTAAACACTTAAAAAGATAAAACAGGTAAAAATATATCAATATATAAAATATATACATATATACATGTACACATGTATATATACATATATACACGTATATATATACACATATATATACGTGTATATATACATATATACGTGTATACACGTATATACATGTGTATATATACACATATACGTGTATACACGTATATATGTATATACATATATACATATGTACAGCTAAATATACCTGTTTTAGCTGTACCTGTTTTATACATACACACACACATACATATATAAATATATATAAAACAGGTACAGCTAAATTTGTAAAGGAAGAATTGATAGCTTGTGTTGACACTACCCTGTCACTTAGTTGCATTTAAATTTGAAAACTTCATCCTTTGCCAGGCTAAATATGAATAGTGGTTCATATTTGTAATTCTAGCACTTTGGGAGGCTGAGGCAGCAAATCGCTTGCGCTCAGGAGTTCAAGACCGGCCTGGCCAAGATGGTGAAATACTGTCTCTACCAAAAATGCAAAAAAATTAGCAGGTCATGGTGGCAGGTACCCATAGTCTCAGCTACTCAGGAAGCTGAGGTGGGAGACTGCTTGAGCCCTGAAGGTAGAGGTTGCCGTGAGCCAAGATGGCACCACTGCACTCCAGCCTAGGTAACAGAGTAAGACTCTGTCTCAAAAAAAAAAAAAAATTCATGCCTTGAAGTGGTCACATCTCTTTGTATTTTATACATATAAAATTATATTTATAATATAGTACAGTAATAAAACATACACAAAGAAATCTCTACTTTCAACACTTCTACTTCAATTTGTTTGATTAAGTCTGCCCTGTGATGAAGTAATGAGATTTTTAGCTTGTTTGACTCTGCCACATCCTGTAACTATTTCAGTTTTATGATATGCTCTCCCTTTAAGAATTGCTAAACGATAAATTTGCTTATTTTTTAGAGCGATTAAAATAAATTAAAATTGCTTTTGCTTTGAAAATTTCATAACTTTTATGACAAATTAAACCTTGAAACCTTGTAAAAATGGAGCTGAGAATCACTACTCTAAACATTGGGTACAACAACAATCTCATTTAAAAGGAACTTAAAGTTCTGTAGAGATACTCATTTATACTATGTGCAGACAGAATGGAAGGTTGACGGTAAAAAATATTGTAATACAGTGAAAAGAATATTGGACTAGGGATTCAGATTTGAGATCAGAGTTTAAGCTTGGGCAAATAATTTACATCTGTAAACTTCAAGTTTCTTAGCAGTCAAATAGGGATAATAACTATCTTGATACTTCACAGGGTTATTTAAAAATATAACACTGGGCTGGGTACAGTGCTTCACGCCTACAATCTCAGCACTTTGGGAAGCTGCCTGAGGCCAGGAGGTCAACACTAACCTGTGCCTGCAGTCCTGTCTACTCGAGAGGCTGAGATAGAAGGACTGCTTGAGCCTAGGTTTTTGAAGCTACAGTGAGCTATGATCACGCCACTTTACTCCAGCCTGGGAGACAAAGTGAGACCCTGTTTCTTAAAACAGAAAAAATGTACTGATAGACACTGTTCTAAGTGTATTATTGTAGTAAATGTATCATGTAATCTTCAAAACAAGAGACTTAGGGGTTGAGCAACTTGTCTGTGGTCAAATAACTAGTAAGTGATGAGTAGGCTGGGCGCAGTGGCTCACGCCTGTAATCCCAGCACTTTGGAAGGCTGAGGTGGGTGGATCATTTGAGGTCAAGTTCAAGACCAGCCTGGCAAACATGGTAAAACCCCATCTCTACTAAAAATACACAAATTAGCTGGGCAAGGTGGTGCACACCGTAGTCCCAGCTACTCAGGAGGCTGAGGCAGGAGAATCGCTTGACCCCGGAAAGTAGAGGTTGGAGTGAGCGGAGATCATGCCATTGCACTCCATCTCAAAAAACAAAAAAAAAGTGATGAGCAGAATCTGAACCCAGGCATTCTGTCTCCAGACCTGGCATTCTTCATCACAGCAAAGCAACAGATGGTTACTTTGCAAACCATCAAGTACTATACAACATAAGGTAATAAGGAAATCAGATAGAGAGCACATGACTTCTATAGTTCCACAACTGATTACTCAAATACAAGAACAGAACCAGTTCAATCCCATTTCCATAGACTTCGTCAATCAAATGAGGATGATCTTTCCAATTACAGGCCACCAAACATTTTAATAAGTATGTAATAGTGATAAAAGTGTATGGCCAGGCATGGTGACTCACACCTGTCATCCCAACACTTTGGAAGGCTGAGGTGGGAAGATCTCTTGAGGCCAGGAATTCCAGACCAACTTGGGAAACACAGTGAGATCTCATCTCTGAAAAAAAAAAAAAAAAATCTTTTTTTTTTTTTTTAATTAGGCATGGTAGTGCATGCCTGTAGTCCTATCTACTTTGGAGGCTGAGGTGGGAGGATTGTTTGAGCCCAGGACAGGAATTTGAGGCTGCAATAAGCCATGATCATGCCACTGTACTCCACTGTGGGTGACAGAGAGAGAGATCCTGTCTCTGGAAGCAAAAAAAACAAAAACAAAAAGAGTATGACCATGGCCTTATAATATAAAAGAGGTCACATATCAGTCTCTGAAAATGAATCTCTTTGTGGCTTTCATACAGGACAATAGCCATAGAGTAGGTACCTAAACACTGCCTCGGTTAATGGCTGGCATACGTTCTGACTGTGCAGGACCCATGTCACACTGGTGGTTACAGAATTTGAATCTCACACTGTCCAAATCAGTTTTATGTTTAAAATAATAATTCCATACATTACCTTATATAAAGGAGGTAATCTAATTTTGATTTTAAAAGTAAAATGAGGCCAGATGCAGTGGCTCGTATCTATAATCCCAATATCTTGAGAGGCCAAGGCAGGAGGATTGCTTGAGCCCATGAGTTCAAGACCAGCCTAGGTAATATAGCAAGACCTTGTCTCTACAAAAAATAAAACAGCCAGGCGTGGTGGTGCACACTTGTAGTCCTAGTTACTTGAGAGAGGCTGAAGTGGGAGTACTGAATGAGTCCGAGAGTTCAAGGTTGCAGTGAGCTATGATCATGCCACTTCAAACCAGCCTGGGTGACACAAAAAGACCTTGTCTCAAAAAAAAGAAAGAAAGAGAGAAAAGCTTATACAATAAGACATAAAAGAAAAAAAAATTTTTTTTAATGAATTGAGCATTTTGTGCGTCTACCACTTCACTCTGCTTGTGTGTTTTTTGTTTTTTGTTTTTGAGACGGAGTCTTACTCTGTCACCCAGGCTGGAGTGCAGTGGCACCATCTCAACTTATCACAACCTCTACCACCTGGGTTCAAGTAATTCTCCTGCCTCAGCCCCTCAGGTAGCTGGGATTACAGGCACATTCCACCACAACCAGCTAATTTTTGTATTTTTAGTAGAGACAGGTTTCATCGTGTTGGCCAGGCTGGTCTCGAACTCCTGACCTCAAGTGATCTGCTCGCCTCAGCCTCCCAGAGTGCTAGTATTACAGGCATGAGCCACCGCACCCAAACCTGCTTATGTTTTTTAACATATATTCAATTCACTGAACTTTTACAACAGCGGGAGATGCACTGTTCCCAATTTATAAATGAGAAAGCTGAAGCTCAAAGAGCTCAAGTCACTTTCCTAAGGTCATAAAGACTGTCAGTGGTAGAGATGGAATTTGAATCTAAGTCTTCTCACCAATTGTTTGTGGCTCCTTCCACTAACCCATCACTGAGTTAAACTAGTGGCAGTAATAAAACACTTTTAAAGAACAAAACCTCAAAATTTTGTCACCCAGGCTGGAATGCAGTGACGCAATCACAGCTCACTGTAGCCTCTACCTCCTAGGCTCAATTGTTCCTCCCACCTTCCTAAGTAGCTGGGACTACAGTTGTGCACCACCATGACCAGCTAATTTTTGTATTATCTGTAGATAAGAGGTTTTGCCATGTTGCCCAGGCTGGTCTTGAACTCTGAGCTTAGGTGATCTGTCTGCCTCAGCCTCCCAAAGTACTAGGATTAAAGGAATGAATTACCATGCCCAGCTGAAATCTTCAAATGAAGAAGTTACTATAGCTAATTAATGATTTACTGAAGAGCTATGGAATTTTACCATTTTCTCTAAATCAAGATAGATGAGGAAAGAAAACACTCCAATGAGGCATTTCTGTGACAAATTATCAGTCTTGGGTTTTACCATATACTGAAATCACAGCCAAGATGAGCCATGCAGTCCATTCAGGGAGGTACTTGATAAACACCAGAGCCATGAGGGCACTAATCATAATGAGATATGCCTGCTGGAGTCGAAGTGGACCTTTCCAGTGAATGGCAATCATTCCCACCACACCAAAATTCCAGATCAGGAGTGCAACAGTAATGTAGTCCACAGCAACGTTATAGGTTTTAAACACTTCCCTGAAAAAAAAGTTAAACGGATTTTAAAAGATTTATGTACAATAATTTTCATCAAAACATTGTTTAGAATAATGTGATGGCTCCCAAACATTAAATATTCCTATCCCACCTTTATAGTTTTATCATAACCTGTATCAACTGTGCTATTATTTATTTAACATTTTCTTTAAATTATTATTTTTTTGAGTTAGGGTCTCATTCTGTCACCCAGGCTGGAGTACAGTGGTACAATCACGGCTCACTGCAGTCTTGACATCTGGAGCTCAGGTGGTCCTTCCAGCTTGGCCTTCTATGTAGCCGGGACAACAGATGTGTGCCACCATGCCCAGCTAATTTTTTTTTTTTTTTTTTTTTGTAGAGATAGGGTTTCACCATGTTGCCCAGGTTGGTCTCAAATTCCTGGGTTCAAGCAATCTGCCCACCTCAGCTTCCCTAAGTGCTGGGATTACAAGAATGAGCCATAGCACCTGGCCAATTAATTCACTTTTTTCCCCTCAAGTTGAACAATTCACTTTTTCCCAAGCTGAACTTTTTTTTTTTTTTTTAAACAGAAAGCTCTATATCATTCATATAAATGGGAAACCAGTTTCACAGGCCATAACTATAAAAATAAGTACAAACAGATAAAAAGATCATATAATACCTAAAATGCCATACTTCGGGAAATATTAGTTTAAAATATCTGAAATTAGAAAAAAATTAAACATCTGCCAAAACATTTTATAGCTATGACATAAATTTTCATACAATGAGATTTAGTGCTCATTAAAAGTAGATATATGGCCGGGCGCGGTGGCTCAAGCCTGTAATCCCAGCACTTTGGGAGGCCGAGGCGGGTGGATCACGAGGTCAAGAGATCGAGACCATCCT